CCGCGGTCGGCCACGTTGACCTTGCCCCAGAGGCCGGTGATGAGCTGCTTCTCTTCGGCTGTCCAGTGCACCATGGTGGCGGGCGGAGGGTTTGCTTGGGGCTTCCCTGAACAAGGACGAGGAAGTGGGGCTGAAGTCTGCCCCAGGGATTTTTATACACTAGTAACAGCTTGTCCTAATCTCAGTTCACGAAGCTGTTGGTTGGGGCCGGGGAGGCAGCTGGGCTGCACAAGGTAAGATAGCAGTTTTGGATGCTGTCCAAAGGGACAAGAGGCCCTTTGCCCCCTCTGCCTTTGAGTGGACAAGCATCACCTCAAACCCACGCGCTTGTAGTCGCAGGTGGAGCTGCCTTCCTGCCTCCGGGTTTCCAGGATTGCAGAGGCAGCAGGTGGCAAGGGGCTGAAAATTCGGTGGGGACCCAGGGAGCGATGTTCAAAGAGTTTGCGGTCCCCGGAGCGTGTTTCTAACGGTGCGTTGGTGACTGCTCTCCTGAGATTCATCCTGAGCAGCTCGTGGCATCACGCTCCCCAGCCTAAAGGACCCGAGGCTTATGGGGAAACACGGATTGAAGGATCCCCCCAAATCTAGGCCCCGTGCAAGAGCCTCCGTTCTTGTCTGTCCTAGCAAAGAGCTTCCGAGCCGTCGTCCGTCAGCACTGTCCATCGCTGCCCACGCCATCCTATCATAGAATCATAGAATCACAGTCTGGTTTGGGTTGGAAGGGACCTTAAAGATCAGGTAGTACCAACCCCCCTGCCATGGGCAGGGACACCTTCCACTAGACCAGGTTGCTCCAAGCCTCATCCAGCCTGGCCTTGAAGACATCCAGGGAGGGGGCATCCACAGCTTCTCTGGGCAACCTGTCCCAGTGCCTCACCACCCTCTCCGTGAAGAACTTCTTCCTGATATCTAATCTAAACCTCCCTGATTTCAATTTGTACCCATTCCCCCTTGTCCTGTCACTACAGGCCCTTGTCAAAAGTCCCCCCCAGCCCCCTTGTAGCCCCTTCAGGCACTGGAAGGCTGCCATGAGGTCTCCTCGGAGCCTCCTCTTCTCCAGGCTGAACAAGCCCAATTCTCGCAGCCTTTCATCATGGCAGAGGGGCTCCAGCCCTCTGAGCATCTTTGTGGCCTCCTCTGGACTCGCTCCAAGTGGTCAATATCCTTCTCTCCTCTCTCCCACCTCTAGTGCAATTCCTTGTCACCAAAGTGGATCCCCCTCGCAGGGACAACTCCGAGTTACTCAAGAGCACGGTGTTGCCCTCAGCCTCAGTCCCATGAGGAACAGGAGCTGGACATGTCACCCATGCAGGGGTCAAGGGCCAGGCTGCACTGTGCCAAACCACCCCGAGGATAACCTTATCTGCTGGTCCTGCAGGAAGAGGACAACCCAGCATTCCTTTTATTTTAGATTTTGAGTGCCTCGTTCCTGCGTGGGGCTGATGACTGCCCGTAGTCTAATTACTGGCTGGCCTTGGGGCACAGTTCTGAGGCTGACCGAGCCAGCAACGGGTTTGGTTTGGTAAAGAACACCAAATAAAAGGCGGAACCGAATAGGGAACCACGCTTGTTTTTCCAGACGGCTAGCAGAAATATGCAGCAAAACCTTGGCTGCATGGCAGAAGTTGGATGGTTTTGCTATATCAGCCACTAGCACCAACAAAATCTTGAGTGCAGACACTGCGTATAGCAGGAAACAGAGTTCTTTGGTGTGTCGCGTGCCGCACCCCAAAAGCTGTCCGGGCAAAGCAGGAGCTCTACTGTGGGTAGAGCTGTCTCCGGGAGACGGCTTGTTCACATGAAATAACTCAGCCCTGAGAAGCAGCCTTGCAGGGTGACCTCTCTCGGCATGCAGGATGAGGTCTGTCCTGCTGTCATCGTCTCAGCAACCATCTTCACAAACCTGAAGACGTTCTCTCGCCTCTCATCCGCCCGCTCCAAGCAAAGCTGTCAGTAAGGTCTTCCAGCCCTACCTCCGCTCAAGACCGTTACTCCCTGTCGTTACTACGTCTTCGGAAGTTGTGACTGTTTTCCATCCTCCTACCTGACAGGGCATCTCAATCCGAGGTGTTTCCTCCTAAAGGGGAGACTGTCAAGGGATTCGAGAATTCTTGCTGGTGTAATTCTGCAAACAGGATCCTGATGCACTGTAGGGTGCACTGATGTGCTGGAAATCACAGAAGTCATCTGTGATACCGTCAGGTGCTGAGCTCTGACTTCAGCTGTGACCAATGACCTGACCTGGAACTGAATCCCCTAATTGCCACTCTACTTCCACGATGTATGCAAATTGGCTCATGCACGAGCTTTTTCCATTAATACAGATCATACAATGGTTTGGGGGGAAGGGACCTCAA